CGGGTGCCCCCCCCCCCCGCCGGCCGCACCACAGGCGGAGGTCCACCAGCCTCCCCGCTCCCCGGCAGCCTCCTGGCATGAGCGGGTCCTGCACCGGGCTGTCGACCTGGGGTCACGTGGGGTGCAGGCGGCCCTGCCGCTGCGGGAAGGGTGGGCTGCAGCAGGGCAGCGCTGCCCCGGAGAGCCCTTCCCCAGCTCTGCCTCTTGCATCGCACCAAATTACCCTGCGACAGCGTCTCCTGCACACATCTGCCGCCTCAGCCACTGGAGGTCCTGGGTTGCCAGCGAGCTGTTGGCCAAACCCAGACAGATGTCACCTGAGCCACCTCCCAGGTGACCCCTGGGGTCCCTGGGGGGTTACCCACCGCTCTGCCCCTGCCCGCTGGCTGCAGGGGAGCTGTGCGAGGCCGAGCAGGATGCGTGCCAGCGCCATTGGCAAAGCAGGGGCTGCACCCCACCGCTGTCCAGAGAGTGATGTCCCCCTGCCACCCGCGGGTCCCCCAGCCAGCCAGGCTGTGCTCCCCTGAGTGTCCCGTGGGCCGGGACCGAGCTGCGCTGCGGAGCCCACGCGGTGTGTGCCTGCGAGGCCGCCCCTGCGGGTGCTGCGAGGAGGTGGCACGTGCCGCAGTGCTGCAGGGGGGATGCGGTGCTGGCACGGCCGCGTTGCCCAGCCCTGCCAAAGCCTGGGGTTTGCACGTCCCTAGCTGGGATGCCAGCCCTTGCCCGGGGCACAACAGAAGGTGCAGGGTGGGATTCGTCCCCCTCGTCCCCAGCGGCTGCTTCCTGGCTTGGCTCCAGCTCGGGAGCCCCAGCTTGCGGTGACAGCGGCCACGGTGAGGGGCAGCGCGGCGGGGACAGAGCTCGGGAGGAGGGCAGGATGGAGATGCCAGCCCTAGCTCTGAGCACGAGCGCGGCTGCGTGCCCCTGGCAAGAGGGAAAGGGCCAGGCTGCGGCTGGCAAAGAAACAGCGAGTATAGGAAAATTTCCGCTTTATTTCTTGATATACTTCTGCCAGCGCCAGCGTGCCCAGCCCTCCTGTGCGCGGGGGAGAGCGATGCGGCTGGATGCGGGCGGCAGCGGGGAAAGGAAAGCACCACGGCAGCACTACAGCTGCCCCCCCGCGAGGGGCCAGGGCTGGTCTGGGGGGTCTCTGCCCCCCCCCAGGAGCTCTGCGCACAGCCTGGGCCCCCAGGGAGCACAGCCCGCCGTGAACACCTCCCCATCCACACACCCGTGTGCTGGATTTGACCCTAAATGAGGCTCCGCTCTCCTTGCGGTTGGTTCCCCCTCCCCTCCCTCCTGTTACTTGCACATTGCTCCCTCCCTTCCCTCTCCCGGGGTTGCAGATTTAAGCCTGTAATTAAGATCCAGGCTAAGAAACTCAGGAAAAAAAAAAAAAGGGAAAAAAAAAAAAAAACGAAAAAAAAAACTCTTTATTTTGTGGGGGACGTGGGGGACATCGGGGCAGGGACAGGGGGAGATGGGGACATGGGGACATCACTGCGGGGGACATTGGGGACAGGATGATGGGGACCGGGGACGGGCGAGGGAAGCTCTGGGGACGGGTACATTTTGCACATGACTGCTCAGGAAACCGGTGGTGGCGGCAGAGGCGGTGGGAGCGTTAGCAGCTGGGGGGCACAGCATCCAGGAAAGCGGGCTGGGGACAAGCACGAGGTGGGGACACCCCGGCAAAAACCCAGCACCGCTGGCAGCGAAAGCGGCCGTCTGCTACCGGATAAGGAATGTCTGGGAGGCCCAGGGTGAATCCTGGCTGCTGAGTCGGCGGTCAGGCCACGGGACGAAGATCCTCGTTTCCCCGGCTGGAGGAACGGGCTCTTCCTGGTGGAAAGGGCC